CTTCGTACGTGCGTACATTAGTTCGAGTTGCCATACCACATTAGAACACAGATACAATTGTCAATTCGAATTCCATTGTGGTAAAGGTGGTAAAAGTATAAGCAGTAATCAGAAAAATTAGGGTTTGAAGATCTTATTCAAAGAGTATAATCCAGTGAAATAAATTTGGGAAGATAAAAAGAAAGGGGCATGAAGAATTCAGAAGGTTCGAATTCGGGAAAACACAAAGAGTGGATGCACCTACGCTTTTGCAAACGATTTCGAGCCATGTCATTCAAGATCTCTAATCATCGGTTGCTATCATCTCGCGGATCCCAACCAGGTAGTCTACACCTACCAACATGACTCAGTCCACTTGTCAATGACTTCATGGATTTGTGTCATGTTTTGGTCTGGCCACCCCTAGCTTTCTTTCAACCTACTCCTACACCATAAAACATTGCACGTCGGGGCAGTCGGTGGTTACAGCACAACTGACCAATAATCCTAATAGTTTCTCATTAAAATATAACATGTTTCACACTAGTTTACTGTATATTGAGTATGATATTTTTTCAACAAAAAAAAATAGACATTAACATTTTTAGACGAGTTCCAATTTCTTCATACCACTTCACAAATTAGCTGTATTTTATTTAGTCAAACCAAATAGACATATACACACAAAAATTAAGAGAAATTCTGAGAAATTATAATAACTAAAGTAATTTATAGAAATGATTACAAGTGCACATATTCAGTCCTCAATGTGTTAAGGCCAAATCATCTCATAATAATAACACTAATAGTAATAATAATAATAGTAAAATGATATTCGAAACAGTTTGGCCTCATCTATTTATCAAAAGAAAAAAAACGAGAGATTTTCTTTTGTTCTACTCATAATACTGTTTGATAGTTTTCTTCTGTTTTTTTGTTTCACTGAATTAATTTAATCATAATTATTTTATTTCTTTTTTTATTCATTTCAATCAACTGATTTTTTATAAAATCTGTGCATAATGCTAACTAACACCCGCAGGTTTAAGTTAAAACAAGCAATATAACATTTATAATAGAATTAATTGGCAACCTAATCATAATAATAATAATAATAATAATAATAATAATAATAATAATAATAATAATAATATGCTCACATATAAATATGTTTTCTTTTAAGGACAAATAATCAGTCATTTGAAAATATTTTATGCCTAAGTTTTAAGTAGTATGTCTTACATATAAGTAAATGTTGCCACACGAGTATATTACTTTTTAAAAAATCTAAATATCAATTCGTCTTAAATAATAGATTTTAAAAAAGATTGATAAAGGTTATATGGAGTTTACCAACAATATTTCCCTTGTCTTCTTTCACATGTATGATCTCTGAATGATATCCAAGTGAACTCAATGAGTTGTTAATTGGCTTAGTGATGAGTTCTAAGTATTCGTAATTGCGTTTTTACGACTAATGTCTATCTAGAATATAGAATAAATACGTCCGATTTTTTATATTATGTTGACTTAGAGCTAATTGTTTTCAAAATGTCTTATTCTTCTATCATTTATGATTGTTTACTAAATTAAAAGAATTGAAATTTCTGAATAATTAGTTTATTTCATATAATGACCAGTAAGGTTTACATTAAAATAATCGAAGAATCACAACTTACAGAAACGGTAGTACAATTATTAGATATCAGTTATGAAATAACTAATAGGAATAAAAATATGAAATATCTGTTACATCACCTAGATGGATAAAATTACTTCGTTGGTTCATTTAATGAATAGAATAGATGAAAGTCAAATGATCAAATAATTTCAAGTAGACACATAATGTAGATCTCCTTCATAAATCGTTTAATAAAAATAATCTGGTTTGGGCCATTAAGATAGTTAGACTGTTTGAATACAATCAGTCAAATAATATGACTCAAAATTGATCGAATTTATCAGATTCAAATACTTCCGAAGTTCCTTCAATTAGCAGACTACATATGCTTTCAATGAGCGTTATCCATAGTGTCGATTGTTTCTCTAAATATATTTATTACTGTTCATGAAAAGCCCCCAAACAACAGTTAAGACTTCCTTTATCCATTTACACTAGAGACATTTTGGGTTTTTGACTTTTATTCAACTTTACAATATTTTATTTGATAGCTGAATAAGAAAATTTTAAAATTGGTGCCAATAAAAATTAATAATCTTTTTGTGTCCTAGGACGTTTTATTTTCGTAGCTTAGGTGTTTTACTGAGGCGTGTGTACTGTCCCCTGACAGTAATACTTGGACACTTCTCCACCTAGTTTATACTCGTTTTATTAATTAACTGTGCTATATTTTATCATTCCTAATTAAAAAGATATATTTACTTATCATACATGAGTTAATATTATAAAGGCCTGCTGAACAGTAAATCATTTTCTAAATATCAATAAAACCGACAGCCCAACCACTAACAAAAAAACTTGATTGTTTTAGATCCATACAAATATTTATCATTCATTTTAACGTATATAACTTAGATTTTAACGGTTTCTTTCCTCTGTCTTAAATGGATGACTGTTTTATAAGCCATATTTATCAAACTTGATTTACTTTTGATATTACTAGAAGTAAAATAAATGAAAGAACATAAAAAGTCACTTCTATATATTATAATCGATAAACTGAGCAATTAAACAAATAGAAACTTCACGAAGTAGAAGGATTCTTACGGACAGTAATTCATTTTTTCAATGATTATATTTTAAAAGCTATGAAAAAATTAACGGTTTATTATTAGCATGTTATGTGATATTGGGAATGATTTAATCTATACTGAATTCTCCTGAAAACCATGCTTTGCAGTAAAACAGTTTATTTAAAACATGCCTAATCCAATAAAATATTATTTGTTACCAAGGAATAACTATTTTGTTCAAAAGACGTTTTGCCCATTTAATATAGAATTATCTTGGTAAAACCCTTTCTCTGGTTGATGTCCTAGAGATTCTCGTTTTAAATCCGGTACAGTAAAGATTTTAAGGCCAGTTTAAATATGATATAATAAAATTAAGAAAACAATATGTACAGAAGCCTTTAGATGGTGGTTGGAGGTAGTCAACAGGATGGTGGCCACATTTCAACTCAATCGATAGCATTCGATCTGCACCAAAAAGGACTTGACACACATGACACTGATCACCACCATGTGATTGCAGATGCCTTTAAAAGGAAAAGGCTAATTTACTTGCCTCTTGGTTCTAGAGTGCTACATCGAAAGAGAATTCTGCAAAAAGCTTGCGAATTCAACATGTTTCCCGAATACATTTAGAACAGAAGAAAAGCCACAAAAAATGTCATTTTGTTACTTGAATGTTTTTAAGATTCGCTGAGGTTTGAGAAAGCTTTTGTGGAATTTTATCCTGCCTGAAAGCAAATTTTATGAGTTAAATATGTTTTCTCAAACAGTTTCAGAAAAATGCAATGAAAGTCCAGATAAATACATGTCACTCATCAGAACGTGATAAAAATTAAACATAAGTCGTCATTCTTGCTAGACTTTACGAATAACAAATTCAATAGGTAACATCCATTTTTTATGATAAACGGACAGAATAAATAAAGTCGTCAAGTTATTTATGAATCAAAGCAGGTAAATTGTCAACATATTAAACGATCAGGACTGCGGTAGTGTAGTCTACTATTCTTTTGGAATTAATTAGCATACTTGTTGAAAATGAAGTATAACGGTCAACACATTCCCCTTGTTTATATAGGATCGTGCCAGTCGTTGAGCTTGAAATGCCTGACGAAATACAGAACAGAATGACGTATCTGCGTTACCTTTACTTTACACATCTTAAACGATTAAGAACATATAGTTCTGGTTTACAAGTCACCAAGACTGTTTTGATTTCAATAAACGAGGCATACATAAGGTTAAAGAAACATTTACAAGTTGTTCAAAGTAAAGTAGGAATTTTGGAAACTACTTTACTACTCTAAAGTGTAAACAAGTGATATACGCACATATGGTAGGGTTAAAAACCTTTACAATCAATTTCTGAGGTCAGTTGTATTTAAAAACAATATTTATTAAGAGCAACAGATGCCATAAAAAATGAAACTGATTCGTCACCTATCATTTATGAGAATGAAAAACGCACATAGTGAAACTTAATTATGCAATGAAAGTGAAATACTACCCAGAAATACCTCAGTACGGCAATATAAAAACAAACGTAACACTTATTGATCTTAATTTGTCGGTTTTCCCTCAACTTTAGCACAAAATATTGTTAAAAAACTCTAATGATGAATGACTTCTTTTATGAGGATAACTCTTGATATAAACATGTATGAACTGGAGATCTCTCAAAACATACAAAGCACTTTGTGATTCTGTTGTCTTTAATTTCTCACCCTAGAAAAGTACATGTCTACAATTTTACGATAAATTGAAGACAAAGTTCATAAGATATGTAACTGTTGTTTTCCCATTGCACCATTGAGTTAAAAGCTGGAAACCAACTTTATATTACTCATGTTTTTCAAATCGTTTTATGACGTTTTCACTTCATGGCAGTTTTTACATAAGTTGCTAAACGATAAGTAAAAACACTGAAACCAGAATAGATGTTTAAGACATTTTACTTCTCATAGGCTCGTTGTGCTAAAACCTACCAGAAGATTAAGTTTTTCTTTGTAAACTGCGCTTTTTCATTTCTTATTTATCTTTACTTAGAAAGATTTAGGTTTTCCTTTAAACGGTTCGCTATATTTAATCTGATTCTCTGGCCTGACAAAATGTGAAACACAAGGAAGTCGCATAGATCTGAAAGATTAACTTAGATTTGAAATTAAACTCTAGACTTTTAAAAATTCATATAAGACCTGTTCATGGCACCTTATAAACACAAACAAAGAACTAACGACAATCACTGAACGTTTTGCTGATTTTGTCATTAACCAAAGCTATATTCCCTAATTCTACGAAACTGTATGTTATTATAAACGACAACTTACATTCATTTCAATCGGCTTGAAATTAGGAGCTACTTTATTTTCCTCCTCGCTAGTCCCTCTGAAATTGGATTTCTTAGGAGAGGAGTTTTCCGGACAAACGTTGCTGTTGTTCTGCACCGAATTTGATGTAAATGATTTTTTTACACGCTTTGACTTAAAATAAACCTTTTTTCTCATATTTATATTAGATCTTGGAGAGCAATTAATAATTGAGCTACATAGCATATTGCTGGCTGCGTGCTTTAGATTTTGAGAAACAAAACCATTTCGAACATCGACGTTAGAAACCATGTTGTGTTCAGTAGCATTTGAGAATGCATATTCTCCATCTCCTTTCAGAGTTGGAATTCGACTGTGTTCAGACTTTTGTGCTGGATCACACCTATCGAGTTCTTTGTTTGCGGAATAGTCATGGTTTTCTTTATTTGACTTATCTGAGTTGTGTGCTTTTGCCTCAACATGTGATGGCAAAGTTAAAATAAAGGGATCGGTGGTTTTATTTTTTTCTGAGTTTGTCAAGTCCACTGGTAACTGTAAACTGGTTTGGGCTTGACTCTCAGATACATAAGTACTAGGAAGCTGGTTAGACTGTTCAAAAGCCACACCGGAAACTCGTTTGTACTCATTAATCAACTCTTGATTACTGACTGCAGTGTTATTAGACTGAAAAATATCGGTAAGAACAGCCGACAAATTTACTGAAGAATATGAGCTTGAGGTGTACGGTGGTTGAACTGGAAAGTTAGTGATATTATTTGTCTGTCCACCCCAAGTGGGATTGTGAACTGGAGAATTTATAGTGACATCATCTAAATGTTGGTGTGGTAGTGAATTATAAGAGAGAGAATTTTGGATCATTCCAAAATATAATTCCACAGATTGTTGTAAAGCGTAAGCTCTGTCTATTAACGACTTATAACAAATAGACATGGCTTCATAATTTGGACAATTAGATTTTGGAACAGGTATATTAGTTATGCAAGTGCTAATAGAATTTATAACATTCTGCCGCCAATCTAAGTACGCTTCATATTTTGTAGAAATGTGCTTGTAAAGTTTATCAATTTCTTTAGAATTTGAGTAGTAGAGCTCATCATTATAAGATCCATTAGAAGGGGTTTGCTTGTTTGAAGTAACTGTCACAGGATTTGTAGAATGATTCAAGTGGGTCGAATAAAATAAGTTTGACAGATTGTTGGAAAGAGAACTGCCTGATGTTTTATCGAAACCATGATTGACTTCCGCTAATGATGGGCACGTAGAAAACGATCCACTTTTTAAATCATTCGACGTTTTATACTTCAAAAGAAAATAATTTAACATAGCAGCATAAAGTTTAACGTGTTCCGGAGATGCAGTTATATTGCCATCACTTAATATTTCACTTGAGCGTTCTGTACCATTTAAAGAGGAAGGAAGAACATTATTTTCTTTTGTAACCAAATTTATAGGGCCAAATGGTGAATTTTTTAATATCATTTTGACATCTTCTCTTGGGTCTTCTTCTGTTGGTTCACGTTTCTGAGGTGCAGCAGTTTTCCTTTTGCGTTTGTTAGAGCCATAATAATATTGCTCGTCAGATATATCGTATTTGTTATCGATATAAGTGTCATTGAACTCATTAAATTGATGCATGGCATGTATCATAACACCTCTTGGCATAATATTTTAATTCATTAAACTGCCTTTAACTATGATTTATGAATGACGAATTCACGATACTCAATGTCTGTTTAAAAATGTACGTCATAAGCTACTGTGATACAGATACTAAGTGACACCGTAAAACAAAGCAAACTTGTATCTCAAATGTTATTCTGCATGAAAACTCAAAAGTTAAGGTCTGAAAATGAAAGGTTATTTCAATAGAAAAATTGAACCCAAACTTAATTTGTATAGACTCATTCTGCAATTGTAAGGGTAAGGTAAAAATGGTCCTTATCCCTTTCACATGTTGTATCAAAAATGAAACCATTGGGTAGTGCAAATAAAATTTCACTGAGCTTTAGACAATCCATTCGTCAATATGAACAGGTTTTACGTTAGACTAAGGGTCAATGAAAGTCTGCCGAACTTCATGAAGGTCGAAGATAACTAACGTTCATTATCCATTTGCACGCTAGTGACTGGTCACTGCGTCTGAGGCCTCGTTCTATTTACGTAATCAATCGTTACAAGTGCATTCCTTCAAAAGCGGTATGTTTGTTCTATGTCGCCAGCAAAGTCGATGCAGTACCTGGATACCACGAAGAGTAGTCCGCTTTAGGTACCGACCAGGAGTTATGACTTCTATGTGAGCTAGGTCGCACAATTCCTCTTCAGCTCGTGTAGACCATAAACATCAGAATAGATCACCTAAACTGGTGGACTACAATCTCGTTTACTCTGCAGATAAACTTTGTAGGATTAGTAAATTCAAATTTATTTTGAAACATTGTCCAAGTCCACCAACTAAATATTATTTCGTTTGATCAGTGGTGTATACCTAGTTTCAATTGATAATTGAGGTAATTCGATGCGAGAACAAAACATAAGTTATTTACTTTCTCTTGTCATCTCAAGATGTGTTATTTAAAATACATTTCCTTTAACTCCTTCTTATCATCTCTCTTTGACCACAACTTCAGTAAGAATGTGATGAAAGAATACGCTCAAGAGTTTGATATTTTAAAATTTCCCAAAAATGAGCCAAAAAACCCGTATTTTTGTCGTTTCTCAAGCTTATATTACAAAGAAGTCCAACCACATTTTCAATAATTATTCATCACATGTTAAGTTAACTGTCATTTAGTAGGACAGGACAACTCTCGAACGGATATACATAAAACATTGTATCGGTCAAACACTGTCACAAAATAAGAACATGAAAACAGCAGACGTCCTTCCTGCCGAACATTTGCCACATTTAGTTGTCTTCATCGACTTTCCAATGGAGTGTTGTCTACAAAATATCAAAATATCATGAACAATTTTACCATCTATTGTAACAGGAAATTCAACTAACAAACACAAATGGTAATAATTTCAGGCCAATCTGGTTTTCATATATCTACATACAATCTCTGCATGTTTTGCGCTGGCATAAGACACCAACTGTTACTTCGACGCAGGTTTACAAAGGCCATAGGCTGCGTGTTGCGGGAGAGCTAAAGGCATCGGGTTGATAAAAGCTTTTATTTTAAATATTAATTCACTGTGTTTTTGGATGTAATCTTTTTATTGAACTCTTGAACGTGTTTGTTTGTATCACTATTTTCGGACATCTTGGTGCTCTCTGTGTCTTTGTTTTGTTATTTGGGAGTTGTTGCTCCGGGAACCTACAAAATTGAAGGTTTGTTTTGTAATTGTTATAATTACTGTTGTTAGAACGATTTTTGGTCGATTATTTGTGAACTGCGAATAAACTTGGTACCTGATTTGGAGTTTTGGTTCTCTTGCCTATTTAGGTTCGTGATTTGCGAATATCGACGGCCAGTACTTCAATAGCTGGAACGGGCAAAAACGCATTCTTGGACGTGACGTGCGGGCCATTTGCAAAATAAATACAAGGTCGTAAAATCTACTCTATTTCGACAACTAATAGAATAACGACTCACACTTCAGTGACACATAAGTTTAATACTTTTTATAATGATAGAATATCGTGTCTTTACCTTTTCCATGATATGCTACCTCTGTTGACATATATATCATATCTACGATGTATCTTTATCTATAGAGAATTCACTTCACCATTAATTAATTGATATTAACGTTACACATGGACTTCACCGGATCACACTACACAAAACCGAATCGACCATATCTGCATCAACAAAAAGTTCAGGAGGACGATGGAAGACGTGAGAACCAAGAGAGGAGCTGATATAGCATCAGATCATCACTTGCTGGTCACCAAGATGAAATTGAAACTCATGAAGTACTGGACAACGGGGCGGACAATATCACAAAAGTTCAATACGGCCTTTCTTCGGGATACTGACAATCTCAAAAAATTCAAGATAGTCCTCAGCAATAAGTTCCAGGTCTTTCACGATCTACTCAATGGAGAGGGAACTACTGTGGAGAGCAACTCGAAAGGGATAACAGGCAATCACTTCAACATGTCATGAGGTCCTGGGTCACAAGAAGCACCATCACAAGGAATGGATCACTGTTGATACACTGGATAAGACTCAAGAATGCAGCAATCAATACCAGCCGAACAAGAGCAGAGAAAGCCAAGGCACAAGCTGAATACACAGAATTAAGCAAGCAAGTGAAGAGGAGCATCAGAACCGACAAACGTAAATATGTGGAAGATTTAGCAATGACGATTGGAAAGGCTGAAAGAGAAGGAAACACGACAAAGAAACTCTCTGGAAATCACCGCAAACCGGAGCGGCCAATGGAAAGCAAGGAAGGCAAGGTAATCACCAACATTGAAGAGCAACAAAACAGGTGGGTAGAACACTTCAAAGAACTCTTGAATCGACCAGCTCCACTGAACCCGCCCAACATCGAAGCAGCACCCACGGACCTCCCAATCAATGTTGGCCCACCAACAATTGAAGAAATCAGCACGGCCATCAGACAAATCAAGAGTGGCAAAGCAGCAGCACCAGACAACATCCCAGCAGAGGCACTGAAAGCAGACGTAGCGGAAACTGCAAGGATACTCCACACTCTCTTCAGCAAGATTTGGGATGAAGAACAAGTATCAACAGACAGGAAAGAAGGACACTTGATCAAAATACCGAAGAAAGGCGATCTCAGCAAGTGTGATAACTACAGGGGCATCACTCTTCTTTCAATACCGGGAAAAGTCTTCAACAAGGTGTTGTTAAACAAAATGAAGGACTGCGTAGACGCCCAACTTCGTGACCAACAGACAGGATTCCGTAAGGATAGATCGTGTGCAGACCAAATCGCAACTCTACGGATCATTGTGGAACAATCAATTGAATGGAATTCATCATTCTACATCTACTTCATTGACTACGAAAAGGCATTTGATAGCGTGGACAGAACAACACTATGGGAACTTCTTCGACACTACGGCGTGCCTCAGGAGATAGTCAATATCATACAGAGTTCATATGATGGATTACACTGCAAAATCGTGCATGGAGGACAGTTGACAAAGTCGTTCGAAGTAAAGATCGGTGTCAGGAAAGGTTGTTTACTCTCACCCTTTCTCTTTCTCCTGGTGATAGACTGGATCATGAAGACGTCAACGTCTGAAGGGAAGCGCGGGATACAATGGACATCTAAGATGCGGTTGGATGATCTAGACTTCGCAGACGACCTGGCCCTTCTATCCCAAATGCAACAACAGATGCAGGAAAAGACGAATAATGTGGCAGCAGCCTCAGCAGCAACAGGTCTCAATATACACAAAGGGAAAAGCAGGATTCTCCGATACAACACAGAATGCACCAATCCAATCACAATTGACGGAGAAGAATTGGAAGATGTGTAGAATTATGATCTACTATGATATTAGTGCTGCTCTATTAATAGACCTAATTCTAAATTTGTAGATTCGTCATGATATAACTGCCTAATCTATAAGATCTCACGTGTAAGTCACACCATCGACTACATCAACTCACTGTATCGTGCCAATTACCAATACATGATGCAGAACAAGGTTAGGCTAGAGAAAGAACAATATATTTAATATGAATAGAAGAAATAAGATAACATTCAGCAGGGACCACGCCTGCATAGCCGAGCCATGCCGTTCGATCAACGCTAATCACTCAACTCATTGTTCGCGCCTTCTCCATCGTTAGGTATTTCTCCGTGTTAAATATTGAATATCTATTTTCCGAGTTGTCTCATGTTCAGCTTTGCGGATTGTGTGGTTATGGTCCAATGCCACTACAGATGTAAAAACCTTTACGTATTTGGGCAGTATCATTGATGAACAGGGTGGATCTGATGCAGATGTGGAGGCGCGGATCGGCAAAGCAAGAGCAGCATATTTACAACTGAAGAACATCTGGAACTCAAAGCAACTGTCAACCAACACCAAGGTCAGGATTTTCAATACAAGTGTAGACACAGTTCTACTGTATGGGGCAGAAACCTGGAGAACTACGAAAGCCATCATCCAGAAAATACAGGTGTTTATTAACAATTGTCTACGCAAAATACTTCAGATCCATTGGCCAGACACTATTAGCAACAACCGACTTTGGGAAAGAACAAACCAGATCTCAGCGGAGGGAGAAATTATGAAGAAACGCTGGAAGTGGATAGGACACACATTGAGGAAAGCACCTAACTGCGTCACAAGACAAGCCCTCACATGGAATCCTGAAGGTCAAAGGAAAAGAGGAAGACCAAAGAACACATTACGCCGGAAAATGGAGATAGACATGAGAAAAATGAACAAAAATTGGACGGAACTAGAAAAGAAGGCCCAGGACAGAGTGGGCTGAAGAATGCTGGTCGGTGGTCTATGCTCCATTAGGAGTAACAGGAGTAAGTGAGTAAAAACGTAAGTAACGTTACTTTTGGTGTTAAAATAAGTACTATCTACATCATTCCTTTCTCTGCTTTATTGACCGCGAACTAATGTTCAACATCACTTTATACTACGTGAAATTATTGGTTTGGACCACTCTCATAGTAATGCTGGATTAAAATCAAACTTCAGAACGTCAACAACTAAT